TGTATCTGCAGTAAATTTCATTGTGCCTCAGACACAAAGAGGGGTTAAGATCAGGCTGCTCCACCTACATGCTTTGGGCTGGGCCTATAGGGCCCCAGAGCAAAGCCTTCCTCAATGAATGTCCCAGTCTCAGCTCACACTGGTCAACCCAGCACAACCCCATAGGTTGATTTTGATGGCATTTTTCTTTTTAACCCCAAATCCATGTGTTTCAGCAAATAATTTTTATCCTGATTCCAGATATTAAAGGCAGTTTAGATGCCAAGTCCGGTCAAACAAAATGTGGTCTAGCTAATAGTTAGAATACAAATCAAGACCACGATGAGATACCACCCTGCACCAGTCAGAATGGCTATCATCAAAAAGTCAGCAAAAAGTGCTGGTGAGGATGTGGAGAGAAGGGAATCCTTGTGCGCTGCTGGCAGCCTGGTGTAGCCACTGTGGAAAGTAGTATGGAAGTTCCTCAGAAAACTAAACATACAACTACCTTTCAGCCATGTTGGGCTCTTCGTGCCTCTGAATGAACTGGAGCGGAAGCAGACTGCTGCTGAGGTTGGGTTGGCTGATCCCAGTATCAAATTGGTGCCATACAATGGGAAGAAGGGCCGTGTCTGACCCCAGGGGATTCTCTGAAGTGCATCTTAGCAGTTGTATGTCTAGTTTAAGGAAGTGACCCAAAAAGGCAAGAACACTAGGGACCCAGACAGTTCAAGATTAAAATCTGAATCATTCCACCAGATAGGTAAAGAACCTTAACCAGGCAAAGCCCTGACTAGACACAAGAAGACCATAGAATGGTTGTAGGAGAATGAATTTTTAAATATCAACTTTACTCATAAACTGTTAAGAATCAAGAACCATAGGGAAGGTTGGCCGTGCTTAACTTTACAACTGGGCCCTGGTTTACCATGGAGCAGAATTCTTACAAAATGTTTTTAAAAATGTGATCCAAAGGAATTCAGGGCAACAAATTAAAGCAAAGTGAAAAAACAACAACAAATGACAAACTGAGATATTAAATATTATAAATGGAAAAATCTCCCAAATATATAAAAACTAAAGACCTAAAAGAAACCTGATAGAAAAATGGACAAATGATATGTGGAGATAGTTCACAAAAAGACAGACAAAAGGTGTTCAAATATTTGAAGACATTCAATTTCAATAAGAAAAATGCAAATTTAAAACACATTGAGATACTATTTCTTTTCTATTAACTTAGTAAAAACTTCAGAAGCTGAACAACCCACTCCGTTGGCAAGGCTGCAGGGAAACAGGCAGGCATTGTTATACAACCCTTCTCGTGGTGATTTGACAATACCTAGTGAAATTACATACAAATTCACCCTGTGACTCAGCAATTCCACTTCTAGGGAATTACCCTGAAGATACATCTCCAACAATACAAACAACAACAAAACCCCAAAAAACATGCACAGGGTCTTCATTACGCCATTATCCGTAATAGCAAAATTTATATTGATATTTGTATAGCAGCATAAATCAATAATGGGGCAAACCCTAAAAGTGGAGTAAAAACAGAAACAAATAAACCTAACTGGGTATCAAGTGGATGACATATATAATGGCACAGTAAATAACACAAGTAACTTTTAAACATAGTATTGTGGCAAAACCACCTTTTTTTGCCTAAGAATCAAAAGCACTGGAAAAGGACCTTCAATTTTACTTAGTAAGTTTGCTGTTGGTAGTGGGTATAGCAGTAACTTCCAAACTATGTTGTGTGTATGGGGGAAGTACAAATATGGGAGGAAGGAAAAAACAGCGCAGGCATAGGGCACAAGGTCCAACCTGAAAACGATCCCCACAGCCAAAGCTGATACAACTGGAACGTAAAAATTACAATAATAATAATGGTTACAAACTATAATATATTTGAATGTTTTTAAAGAGAAAAGGGGAGGCTTGAGCTAGACCTTTGCGAATGGATGGGTGAGATTCGCCTGGATGGAGAAGGGAAGGCAGGCATCACATACAACACGAGCTGAAGAAGAAAAGGGCACGAATCAGAAGATGGGGGAGCTGGTCCTGCTACAGTGGGAGGCCCAGGTGGGGATCAGTTGAGTATAAGATTCAGTAGTTCAAGGCCAACTGCCGGTCTGGAGATTGAGCTTTGAGCAGAGTGGCAATGGGGAGCCACTGTAAGTTCTTGAGCAGGGAGATGTAAGAGGAAGTGATGAAATAGGTATTTTGGGGACATGACTGGCAGCTATGAAGGGTGGGGAAGAGAGACCCATAAGGAATTAAAATGGCTGAAATTGTTAAGAGCACTTCAGAGGATGGAGACAGAGCTCATTCCCTTGATGCAGGTGAAAGGGGGAGTCAGTGGCTGCATTTCTGTGCCAAAGAGTTGAGTGGAAGGATGAGCTACACACAAAGGCCAGGCGTGGGTCTTGAACACCAACTGCTGTGCACCAACCGCATCGTGATGCTTACAGATCTCATGGAGGTGAAGGCGGCACCTCACGTTAGGGTGCTGTTGCTGGTCCATCTCAACCACTTGAAGCTCCTCCACACCTCAGGCAAAAGGAGGGCTCCTGTGTTTACCTGAAGCTTCCACTAGTGATCGCTTGGCACAGGGTTTCCTGATGCTCCACAGACAATGCCTAGAATCTTCCTCCCTTGGAGCCCCCGTTGGCTACTCCAGTGAGAGGAACATCACTTCCTGAGGACATAACTCGGGAGAGGGCTCCCACGTAAGGAATTCCCTTCTCTCCTGCAGTGGAGCTTGCCAGAGCGGCTGCGGTTTGCGGCTGGCTGGCTCCATGAGTGTGCGGCTGCCTCTCTGCCTGGCGAGAGGAAGCCCGGCCGTGGCGAGCGGCCCTCCCAGGCAGCCTTCCTCCCCGGCACTCTGAGCATCCACATGCCATGGCTATCAGTTATGCCCAGCGTGTTCATTTTCAGTTTAAATGTATTCTCATCCCAGAGGAGCAACTAATGGCGTTAAGTTACTGATGTGAAAAGAGCCTGCCGCTACGATGACTCTGGATTAATGAAACGGCAGTCGTGGAGGCTGGGGCGGCAATAAATCGTCAGCCACTGGTGACATGAATGCTAAATTATGTTCTCCACCCCCTTCCCTCTTCTCCAAAATGACCCTACAGTAAAGTTGCCCTGTAAATGTTTACCGTTGCTTAAATGTTTGCTTTCTATTAGAAATTGCTGCACGCAGGGCCCCTTCCTCATAAGGGCCCTTTTTCAGAGAGGGATTAAAAATCCTATCACACTCTCTCTAGGAGGCATGAAGGCAAATCTCTTAATCCAGCATCATCACTGACAGATAGATTTCATTCAGAAAACTAGCAAGCACAGGGTTCCATCAGCTAACTCTGCTTTCTTGGCAAATAAGGCTCTCCCGGCCTTCTGTTATGACTTTTCATTTCCTAATGGATTTAAACCACAACAATTCCGACCAGTGTTTTTGAAAGGTGGCGTGTCTATTTTTCATCAGATGAAGGACCCCAGGGCTGGGCTGCAGGGAGTTCAAGAATCTCTGATCCTGAAAGCACATTGCTCATATGTAGATGTTTTTCTAGAAAAAAGGTCTATGGATTCCATCAAATTCACTACATGTTCCATGACACTAACATAGCTTAAGGTCTGCTGTGCTGAACTGCACAAATGGTCACTATCTCTCCTCCCCACATGGCCATGCTCTTGCGAAGGGACTCTGCAAAGGTGTGGCCATGTACAGCCTGAGCCAAACCAGAACTCTTCAGTCCAAACTGCTGACATACCAAATCATGAATGAAATTCATTCATGTTATTTTGGAGGCATTAGTTACACATTAAAAACTAACTGATACAAACATTCTACCCCACAGTGTGCACTTTGAGGACAAGGGTCATGTTTTATTGAGCCTTCGATTCCCTTTGTCCTAAAAACACAGTAACCATTCATATATATTTGTAGAATTGGGTAGAAATGGTCTCTCAACATGACTGGGATTAAGCCACTTTGGCAAGGTCACTTAGTAAATCAGAGGAATCCCAGGGCACTGACTCTAGGCCTCAGTTTCCTTACTTATAAAATGAGCTTCAAAACACCTACCTTGCTGGTCTGCTGGGGGTACTAGAGATACCGTCTGCCTGAAAGATCACAATGATTGCCAGCAAGGAGACTGCTGCTTCCCATCGTCAGCTTTCTCGGCTGCAAAACGAGGCTTGTTCCTCAGGGCTGACCAGACGCCCATGTGTCTGTCATCCTGCAGTCACGGTGGCTGGAGGACTAGCCAAGACCCCTGTGAGGGTGGGAGGGCTCCTAGAGAGGGACCAGGAGTAGCCGCTCTGGATTCTGCCATCGGACCCTCAATCTCCTTTTCTTGTGTGTAAAATACGGTGTGGATGGCGGAGGCTCTGTAACAATCTTTCCGCTGCAGGAATCCAAGGGCTTGTTACTACCAGTCTCATCTGAGCAGAGGCACCAAACTGCTCACATGATCGCTGAGCCAGAAAAAAATTTACCCTTTTTTTTTTTTCGGCAGAGGAGAAGGTATTTTCTGCATTTGTCTGCATTTGTCTGCAGGAAAAGCAGGCCATGGAATTAAGGAATGAGAGAGGGGGAAAAGGAAAGAAAGTGAGACCGCTTCGAGCTGGAATGCTAGACCCCTGCCTCCTGCAGGATAATGGAGCTTCGTGCAAAGCATATCACATGGTCACACCACAGGCCTAGGGATTAGAGAAAAAATCCAAGAAAAATAAGCATGGCGTACACAAAGGCTGGTAAAGTGCTGAGAGAGAGTTACAACAGGGCGAAGAGACAGCGGGAAAACATTTTTTCTTTTCCATTAAGACTTCCTTTATCCTTTCTAATAACTGAAATGACTTTGTTATTTCTGGGATTCAGGATGAAACATCTTGTGTTGGAGACGTATTTGGAAACAAATAATGGACACAGACATCATTTAACACAAATAGTAAAGATAACATCTAAAAATTCGACTTCTTGCCCAAATGGACAGAGCCTAAAGGGAAGCAAATGTGAAAACATTGATTTTTATTCAATTCCCCATACATATATCCAACGAGAATGTTAATACTTATTCTGTCATGCTTTTAACATGGTTTTCTATCATTAATGTTGAGATCTTAAATGGAACAATTACTAATGAGTAAGCCAAGGAAACAATTACCAGATGGTGTTTTCAACCAAATTTCTTGCATTTATTATAATCGTGCTCCTCTACAACTAATGATTTTTGTGGTCTGCAAACCAAATGTCTGCCTTATTTACGTACACACTCGCAGAAGTGCGTTTCCAATGGGGGAGGGTCACGCAGCAGACGAAGCAGAGCGTGTGACCTCAGTAAGGCGCTCACTCAGGATGCGCCGTCCTGCCACCTGACTGGGCTCCCTCAGGATGCTCGTATGTTGGCATCACATTCTTCCAAGAGTAGAATCAGGTCTTCGATCAGTTTGTGCTCTCTGCCGTGCGTCACTCTCATGATATCAAAAGCCTAAAGGGAAAAGAAAGAAGATTAGGTCCCAAAGCAGGCGGGCCCTGCCCACTCATTTCAGGCCCAGGATGCCGGGGCCTGGAGAACCCCACAGGCCAACGGTGCGCAGCGCTGTGCTTCTCCAGCCAGGAAAGGAAGTGGCCAGGGTGATTTTTTAACGTGGTGTTTCAAAGGCAAACTCGCTAATGGAGTCAGGCTGGGGCCTGCTATCCAACAACGATCTTCAGGGATGGTCAGTGCACAGGTTAGGTTTCATGAGCAGCTGTAGAGGTTCAAGAGGAGTTCATGAAATGATTAAGTAATTTAGAGTAAGGATGAAATACAATGTTCATACCACCTTAAAATAAATGTTAATTTTTGCATGCTGCATTGAATCTTTGCCTATATGCATTGTGATAATGACATATCACTTTCTGTATTCTTTTTACGTCATATGACACACAGACTAGTATTTCAACAATTCCTTCCTTTACTGTCTGTTCAGTCCATCACCAAATCCTGTCAATTCTACCTGCAAAATATTTCTGAAATCTGGGTGGGCTTGTAACCACTTCAATGATAGAGCACAATGGAAGTAATGCTGATTAATTCCAAGGCTAGGTCAAGGCCAAGCGGCCTCTGCTGTGAGGAAGCCCAAGCCATGTGGACTGGCCATGTGGAGGTGCTCTGGCTGATAGTACTATCTGAGCCCATCTGTCAAGTCAGCCTAGCCCAGAAACCAGAGATGTGCAAAGAGAAGCCTCTAGGTGATTCCAGCCACCAGTCAGAAAACAGCCAGATTCCAGTCTACCCAGCTGCAACCCCAGGCATCATGGAAGAGAGGCAAGTTATTCCTATTATGATCTGCTCAAGTTCCTGACCCAACCAATATGTGAGCATACATGGTGGTGGTATCCTCTGCTAAGTTTTGGGATGCTTGTTATAAAGCAATAAAGAACCAAAATGCCCTCAAAACTATTTTTGCAATAAACTGGAGCTAAAGAAAACTAGTATTGTCCTATACTGCCCAAATGGGGGGCTAAGGGGAAGGGAGGGGCACCAGAGCCATTGTATTCCATGGGAATGTGCCTTCAGGGGACACGTAAAGGAGTCACCCTGGTGGCTATTATGCCCCCAAAAAGTAGCTGGTACACAGCACTGTGGCCTCAGCCTTGGCTGTATGGTAGCATCACCCAGGGGGCTTCAACAGAGGCTCCAATGCCCAGACCCCACCCATGATCCTCCAAACCTGCTCTCTGGGGGGAGAACTAGGTTCTGGGGATTCTAAAGTGCCCTCAGGGCTGAGAACAACTGATACAGTAAGCTCTCAACAAATAACAGCAACTATTTATTATTCAGTGTTAATTTATAGCCAGCATAATTACCATTTTAATGGCTGTGCACCATTAATTCCATCATGTTTACAGACTATCACTCACTCAGCTACTCTTGGAAATTTAGGTGACTTCCCATTTTTGCCATGATATGATTAATGGAGATCTGCCAGCATAGGACTTTTTGCCTGTGCTCAGTATCTGTGAAGACATATCCTAGCGGTAGAACTCTGAGCACAGACATTAAAGCCAGGGAGACTTTCAGGCTGGGAAGCACCTGGCAGTCATGTGCTCAGACACCTTCTTTCTACTCAGGAGGAACAGGAAGCCTGGAGAAGTAAGGTGCTCAGGCTGAGTACTTTCAGTCTGTGCTCCTGGCTTCTTTTTTTGCCTTTTAAAAATGTTCCCTTTGGGTTGGAATAAAGAAAAACAGGCAGGCAGAGGGGATCTAGATTTAGCTGAGGCAGGAGGGGGAGAGAAGAGCCCGCCACCTCAGGCCCTGGTCCCCTCACCTGGAAAGAGCTCTAGTCACAGAATCTGGCTGTAACCCTACAGTGACCATTGGGCCCATCATCCCCTGACATCCCAGCTGGGAAACCAAGAAGGGCGCTGGCACTGAGATTCCAGGTGGTGGGGACTGGTTTGTTTGTTGCTTGAGTGTGCCTGCCCTGTGGGTACACAGTATCTGTGAGCACATTCCAGGTGGGGGTGTTTGGACATGAAGAGGAGGAGTTGGGAGCAACCTCCACTCTGCAGGGAGCCAAGCTCTGTGAGATCCCTCTGGGCTAAAGATACAAACACATGTGTGATGCCACTCAGGGGGCAAATGTCTTCTGTGCTATTCTTCCCCTGCCCCCTCTGCTAGAGCACTGCCAGGTCCTCCATCACCTGGACAGATAAGGTCCGAGGCAGAGACCGACTGTAAAGAGCGGTCAGAGAAATCCCTTCATGAGAAATTCTCTCACTTGAAAGCCATCTTAGATATTCTCCCTCCTACTCAACAGAGAGCCAGTTGGACTTGTGATCTGGCCAAGAAAGAGAGATAGGCCACAAGCACTGCCTGCAAAGCTCTTTGCCGAAAGAGCAAGAACCGTCCACTCTGCCCCTGCAGGTGGTCTGGAGAAAGGCCAGGCGTGACCTTCAAGGGCTCACCTCCCTCCCGCCCCTCACGAATGCCCCACTGGGAGGGCCTGGCCTTTTTTCTCAGGAGCACCCCACACCAGCTTCTGTTTGCCCTCCTGGTTATGCTTCCACACATTTCTCACCTGGAGAAAGATCTGGGCTTCTTGGCCAGTTGCCTCAGAGGCTAATGACAGTCCTCTTCATTCGCTCTGACAAAGTAAGGCTGATCTGCATGTTTTCAAACATTATAGGCTCCTATCTTCCTTCCAGTCATAAGTTTCAGTCTCTTCCAAGGGCGAAGGGTAACTGTGGCTGACCCAGGGTCCCGTCATCAAAGGAGCAGACCTACTCATCCGACTGCAGGCCAGGGCCTGAGGACAGCAGGAGCCTCCAGTCCCGTAGCCGTTCTGGAACTGTAGGGCCACAGCCGGGAAGGGGAAAGGGAAGTGGTGGGCCCTCCCAGGCCTCGCTTCCACACCTCTGGGCCCCTCCTCCTTACAGAAGGGCCATGCTGACCATCTGGTCCAACGTTCCCATGTTTGTCCTGAGAGGTGGACCCAAGGTGAGCAGCCAGCTCTCAGGACTCAGCCCAGTGTCTACTTCAAGACTGCACTGGGTGGCAGCCTCCACCTCCAAACAGTCTGCAATGACCAAGGGGAGGGGCCGGAGGGCCTCCTGGATGTGACTTCTGAGACACCCTGAGGGCCACTGAGGAGTCCTGCTGAAGATGCTGCTGGTGTTCCGCCTTCTGTTCTTTGTGGTGAACATGGCAGCAGAAGCAAAGATGGGGCAGGAGGCAGCCCCTGAATATGTAGGACTTGAGATACTAAGGCTAGAAGATCTCACCCACGGGGTGGCTAGAGCAGGGAGGAAATAGTACAGAGGGCAGAGGACCAACGAAAAATCCCCACCACTTGACTGGAAGGTAAAACTGAATGCTGATTTGATTAACCAATAAACACTGTTATTTTCTCCGAGTGATGGGTAGGGTAGAAGAGAAAAGGGGAGAAGGGAGAGAAAGAGGTAGGATTTAGTAATGTACAGAATGTCAGGGACTGTCTCCTGAGTGTGTGAGGCTATGTGAGTATACAGTGAGCTGGAACCCAGACCTGATGGAGGACATCTGGTCTTTGGCCTGGATGTCACCTGGGCTTGGGGCAAGAGAAGAGAGCCCTATGTGGCCGCAGGCCCAGGCTGCTCTCCATAAAGGCCACCGATCTTCACCCCAGCGGGAAATCATGAGGAGGGCTTATTTTCCCCCCAAAATAGATTTACAACAAATCTCTGACAAGCCAGAGCACTATTCCCGTGGCTCTGTCTCCCTTCTCTCGGCCCTGCCCAACAACTGCACATGCGCATATCAGAGAGGGTAATTTTGGTTTAATTTCCTGCAGCAGTATATAAAACAGATTAAGGAAATACAAAACTGGAGCCAGCTTGTGCTGGGAAAAGCTTATCTCTTCCGTTTAAATTTTATTTTTTTAATGGTAGCATTTAAAAAGAGCCTGCACATAATTGTCCACAGAGTACTCATCGAGGCCTCGAGGGGACCGCTGCTCCTATGTACTGGCTCCAAATGTCACTAGGGAAATGGCAGCACTGATTGCTGCTGCGTGACAGGCAGGGCGCACTCAGGAATACAGGCAGAGTCCCAGAACTTATTTCAATCTCATCGCATCTTTTTCTTTAAAAAAGTCATTTTAGAATTATGGTTGCATATTAAGTAAAATGAATTAAATCAAAGTATGATTTAAAGTTGCAAACAATATAGCTTTCTTATTAATTTTTAATACAAATATATTAAGCTTATCAAGGATCTCATATGCTCTCTACCATGAGCCTGAGGGAATCCAATAAATGACTTCCTCAAGCATGATTTAAATGTGGATATAAAGTCAGTGGGAAAAGAAATAAATACATGATAAGACCCTCTGGAATCAGATCACAAGAGGGGGAAAAAGGCAAGCGAGTTTTCTGATTCTGCCCAGCTCAGGATGAAGGTGGGATGGAGAAGCAGAGGGGGAGGGGGGCTGGGGCATCGAAAAAAGGAACCTCGAGAAGCAGGACCCAAAACACATTACTCAGCTCCAGAGCCACAACAAGCCGGTTACAATGGGTAGCAGAACATTCCAGAGCCTTTGGTGGCCCCTCTGAGCGGAGCAGCACCCCTGCTGACTCCGCTCTGCTCTACACCTTGAAGCCCTGTAGGATCCGCAGGAAGGACCTGCCCTCCCTGGAGGCAAAGTGCCTTATTCACTCAATATCTCTAAGCAGCTACAACGCGCAAGACTTGGCCTTACCAGGAAGAGCTCTGGGACAGCCAGGAGACAGTTATATCAGGACCGCATGTGACAAAGAGAAATGTAAGGTGCTGGGGTGTCCAGAGGTTGGAGGGGACCAGAGCAGCCCAGGGGACCTCAGAAGGGGTTATAGACCTGGTGCGCTCAGGCCTGTACCTTCTTCCGGTGGGAGTGGCTACTCCAGTAAAAGAGTTGCTGCTGTGCTGCTAAGTTTAACTCATCAATACACCCAATAAATATTTATTGAGACCCTGAAGGGCCCTGAAGAGGTCACATCTCCTCCCTTAGACTCACTCAGTTCCCTCAACTGAATAAGGGATTGGACTCGATAAATTCTAGGGGCCAACCAAGTCCCAGACACAGAGCTAGAGGTGTCCATTTTGTTTTATTCCAAATATTGTTATTGATTTCTAATTAAATTGGACTGTGGTCAGAAAACTTACTTTGTGTGACTTGAATCCTTTTACACTTTTGGAGACTTGTTTTATGACCCAGAGTATATTGTTTGTCTTGGTCTATGTTGTGTGGGGACTTGAAAAGAATGTGCATGCTGCCACTGTTGGATGGAGTGTTTTATAAATGCCAGTTAGGTCCTGTTGGTTGAGGGTGTTGTTAATTCTCCTCTATTCCTGCTGGGGTTCTGTCTAGTTGTTCTGTCCATTGCTGACAGAGGGGTGCTGATGTCCCAGCTATAGCTGTACACACTAGTCCATTGTCTAATTCTCCTTTCGATTCTATGAGGGTTTTTCCTCCTACATTTTGCAACTGTTTGGTGCACACACATTTAAGACTGCTGTGTCTTCTCGGTAGATTGACCTTTTTTTCATTACATAATGTCCCTCTCTGTCTCTAGTAAAATTTTCTTTGCTCTGAATCTACTTTATCTGATATTAATAATACAGCTACTCCAGCTTTCTTTTGATTGCATTTTTCATATCTTTTTCCATCCTTTCACTTTCAACCTGCCTATGTCATTAATATTTAAAGTGACTTTCTTTTTTTTGTTAGTCCTACCGAGGGATATTTTTTTCCATTGATTTTTATAGAGAAAGTGGAAGGGAGGGAAGAAGAGAGGAAGAGAGAAAGAGAGTGAGTGAGTGAGTGAGAGAGAGAGAGAGAGAAAGACACACATACATCAATGGACTGATTGCCTCCTGCACCCACCCTGACTTGGGCTGGGGATAGAACCTGCAGCCCAGGTACGTGCCCTTGACCGAAAATCGAACCAGAGGCCCTTAGGTGTGAGGGCTGATGCTTTAACCACCAAGCCACACTGGCCAGGGCTAAAGTGACTTCCTTATAAACTGCATATGTCATTTAAAAAAAATCCATTCTACTAATCTCTTTCAGTTGGCATATTGGACCATTTACTTTTTTATACAGGCCACTTAGTAATTAATGTAGTTATTAATAAATTAGGGTTTAAGTTTGCCATGTATTTTTGTTTTCTGTTTGTTTTCTTTTCCTTGCATTTCCTAGGGGCTAAATGGTTTTAGAATTCCACCCTACAGTGCTTTTGAGTATTCCTTTGTACAGCTTTTTTTAGTGGCTGCTCTAGGTCTTACATCGTATACACATAACTTATCACACTCTACTGGTGTCATTTTACCAGTTCAAGAAACCTTACTTCCCTGTACATCTTCTACCCTCCCCTGTTTGGAATACAATCGTCCTAAATATTTCCACCATTTAAAACCACAGCAGGGAGTGTTGTACTTTTTGCTTTGTCTATTAAACACAGTCTAGAAAACTCGAGAGAAGGAAAGCCTATTTCACTCACCCACGCTTTCGCACACGTTCTTTCCTTCTTCCTGATGTTCCCAGATCCCTCCTCTTATCATTTCCTTTCTGTTCAGAGAACTATTTTGGCCATCATTTTAGAGAAGGTCTGCTGGTTACAGGTCCTCTTAGCTTTCCTTCATCTGACAATGTTCTGACTTTCCCTTCAGTCCTGAAGGGTATTTTTGCTTAATGTCAGTTTTTGGGTTAATAGTTCTTTTCTTTCATTCCTTAAAACACATGTAATCTTGTCTGGCCTCCATGGCTTCCAACAGGAAACCACTGTAACATAAAGCATTTTTTGTCTACAGGCAAGATATTTTCTCTTGCTGCTTTTAAGACATTTTCTTTGTCTTTTGTGTTCAGAAGTTGGTGATGATGCCTTTCAGTGTGATCCTTTGGATTTTTCTTGCTTGGGACTCACTCAGCTTCATGCATCTGCAGTGTATGTCTTTTGCCAACTCTGGCAAACTGGGAGTTCTACCATTATTCCTTTTATTAAAATGTTTTATTGCAATAAAACACACACTACCCACTTCCAGAACTTTTGCACCATCTCAAACGAAACTGTACTCGCTAAACAGCATCTCCTCTTACCCGTCCCTCCGGCCCTGGTACCTCTTCTACTTTCTATGTCTATGTTCTTGACTCAGGACATCACGGAAGGGGAATCATTCTCCACTTGTCCTTTCATGTGTGGCTTACTTCACTTAGCATGTGTTCGCCCATGTTGTAGCATGTATCCACGTATCAGAATTTCTTTCCTTTTTAAGGCTGAATAACATTCCATAGAACATATATATATATATTCCATATTCATCCATTCACCCATCCATGAACATTTTTCTGTATCTTCTGTTTCTTTGCTGAGACTTTTTAATTTTTCATCTGTTTTGAGGATGCTTGTACTTGCTCATCGAAACATCTTTATGATGGCTGCCTTCAAATCTTTGTCAGACCATTCTAACGTCTCTGTTATCTTGGAGTTGGCGTGTATTGATTTTTTTTTCATTAAAATTGAGATCTTCCTGGTTCACTGTATGAGGAGTGATTTTTCAGCTGCAACCTGACATTCTGAGTTCCAAATTTTACCGAGACCCTCCGTTTTGGCTGGCTTCCGCTGCCACTGCCACTGCCCCAGCAGGGGGCTGGGAATGACACCTTGTTTCTGCCGGGTCAAAGTATCTGTCCAGGTTCCCCACTTGGCTCCCAGTTACTGCTGGGCTTACATTTCCTGGTAGGTAAATTTCTGCTTGTTTCTTTTAAAATGACTTAATCACTGTGCTTTCATTTTATTGACCATTCTCTACTTATTGGCTCCTTTTTTTTAGTTCAGAAACATACGCTTGAAACTAATATTCTCTATTTGGAAGCCAGGAGGGAACGTTCATCAGTATCAGAGCTGGGAACTTGTGAATGACTCTTTGAAGGCACACTGACGACGTGGCACCTCATCTGCCTACCTCTTGTCTTCCCTTTCCCCTCCCATCTGGCCCCTAATGTGTGATGTCACACATTGAGAGGCAAGTTTGTAACCTAGAGGCTGTGGGCACTTAGGGAGTCCCTGGGGAGGCCTCAGGTGGTCCCCAAACCCCCTTCTCTTACCCAATATACCAAGTGTGTGTCTGCACATTTTTCTCTGGTAAGTCAGTGGCTCTCATCAGATTCCTAAACAAGAACATGACCACAGGGATTGAGAATCGCTGTAGCAGATTAAGAACGTGAACCGCAACGCTGCATGCTCTAAGCCAGCCATCAGAGGGGCTGGAACCAGGGTGCAGGCTGGGCTACCAGGGTGCCCGGCACGGCTATGCTCTGAGAGCTCCCTGCATGCACTGGATTAGCTACTAACTGCAGAACAAGGTACGATGTCCAGGACCTTGGCCTGTGCTCCCTGTTCAGGCCCAGGAAAGATAAAAAAGATCCTCAAATGTAAAATGCTTCAACAAAATGCAAGGAAAATGGAAAAAGAATCACAGTGTAATGTAAGAAATGGACAGACGAGTATTGAAGGGAAATAAGTCTGACTTTTTCCAACCTGACTTCAGCTAACAAAACACAACTGACACAGCCACTAACCTGGCCCAGAGTTGAGGGAGTCAGAAGCGTGCCGAGCTCACAGAAAAGAAATGGGCTCACTGACAAGACAGCCCTGATGAGAATGTTTGCCCTTGAGGTCCAAGAAGTCAAATCGGTGGCTAACAAAATTCTCCAAGAAATAAATGGAAAGAAGGGAAAGTAGATTAGAGACAGGAGAAAGCAGGGGGAAAGCACTGTGAGGGACCCCAGGACAGTCCTGTGGCAGCAATCACAAGGATTTCAGCTGAGCCCGGTGGAGACGAAGGCCTAAACCAGATCAGAGCTGGGCTAAGTGGATTCCTCTCCTGGGAAGCTGGGGCCTAATTGTAACAAATGTCTGATTCTGAAGCTTTTCTGATTTCTGTTCCAAACTCAGCCTTTGAAACCCTTATTTAAGCTGTTTCATCCCATTATTTCCAGAGTTTCTAAGACAAGAAAGAATATCTAGGGCTGTCAGTCTAAAGAGAATATTAGTTTCAAAGGGCAAAGAATCTACCTTCCCTTTCTCCATTCCGGGTTACCTGAGCCCCAAGAAAGCTCAAGAAAGCCTTTCTGCAGAACAAAACCACTCTGCTTCTAGACTCAGGTCATACGAGCTTGTGAAGAGATGGATGTGTTCAGGCTATGCCTCTGCTAGCAAATGGTCCAAAGGTCCTGAGAAGATCTGGCCCACTAACTATATACAACTGAAAAAACAGGGCCAAGGTGGGGATTTAAAAGTCCTCTATTCATTAAAAAAATCCATTCATTCAAGTACAGCTTCGATGGAACTTTCTGCATCTGGGGCATGTGTGCCCGTTAGGTGGCACCAGGAGATGCAAAGTGTATGTAAGTAGGGTCCCTTGAAAAATTCCACTCACCTTGGTGAATCAGAACATGCCCAAGTGAACTGCTACGGAGTGGTGATATGGCCTAACTGTTCAAAACGGGAGCTACTGTATAACCCCAAACTACAAACAGTGCTAAAAGGACCAGGCAGTTGGGAATAATGAGAATGAGGATTTCTATAAACTAATAACTACTTAGAGGACCAGAATACTTGGGGCTTGTCAAAACACACTCTTCCAACCTCATATACTTCTCAAATTAACTCCATGGGGCAGGTATTATTCCCATTTTTTAAATAAGAAAATTATGTTCCAAGGGATTAGAAGACTTGCCGCAAGTCACAAAACTAGTAAATCTGAGTGCTCTCTCGACTACACAACACTGCAGGGATGCACTTATATAGAGCTGCTAAAAACCACAAGGCCTAGTCACAGCCAGAAAAGAATATCCAGGCAGAGCCACGTGGGACCTGCACACTCACCAGCCTCAGGTTCTTCATCGCCTGGGGGAACATGCCTTGATGTAACTGCAATTTGCCAACTTTCATTACCTGCACACCTCTGACGGGGTGGCTTCCCGGGAAGAAGATCCTGGAAGAAACCAAAGGGCAAACAGGTCAGTGGCTCCCTCCTTTGTACCCTGCACTGCCTGTGACTGCTAATGAGCTCAGGAGGAAATGAGTAGTCCTGAGGGGAGCAGGCACGTGATCAATCTCTGCTCCCCGGAATGCCTTTGCATGTGGAACAAAGTGACTGTACCAGAATGCCTCTCTAATGAACACTAGAGCAGAGGCAAATCCCAACTCCACACTTGTATTTGGGAGGCGGGGGGAGATCAGTGCTAATCTTACCCTCCAAGCTCTCCCTGGAGCCCAGGACAGCCTTGGACCAAAAGGGGCTCTCTGTATATATTTTTTAGGTAAATGAATGGAAGCGGCATCTGTGGCTCCCATCCAGACACTACCACACCCTCCATTTAACTGAAAGCCCTCGAATGTCAGGTGCAGAGCTCCTCACTGCATCTTTCACACAGGCCCTGTGGGTTTCTTTTACCACCTCACTGATAAGAGATTTTGATTCAGACATCCCATCTGTGTTTGCCATGATGTCCTGAGTGTAGGAGGGACTCGAGACATACATGACCTCTTCCACATGTAACAGAATAGAGTAGGGTGTGGTAGTGGAGCAGAGAGTGACAATGTAGGGCTGTTTCAGACCGGATATTCCTTCAGTTGGATTCAACAAGGATTTCTTGTATTAGATGCAACAACAGTGTACAGATTGGCCTCTTCTGCCCCCACCTCTACTCTTAGGGACTACTATTCCTGACATAGATGCAGGATCGTTCCTGGAGCTCGGGACACACTACAGTATATACATATGTATGAATGTTTCCCTCAAGGCCCAATAATCCCACTAGACACAAGACAAAACATTCATGCAATGGTTTTAAAATATTACAAAACAGAGCATCTGTTCCAAGGGACCAAGGCAGAGGCTGCAAGGGCTCACTTTATTACAGACAACAAAGCTCTGTAAAACAAGCATTGGGTTTAGATTGGTTGTAGTGGGGCTAATGGTGGTGACAGAGCATTAAGAGTGTAAATACTACGAAAGCCAGGCAGGGCATCAAGGCAACAAAGGTTACACTAACAACTCCTTATGCACAACAAAGAAATTTCACACCTACTATTTCACTGATAACTAATTATGAGTGTGGCTTATTAACTTGATTATACAGATGAATGTAGTCCCCAAGGTCCTAAGAGGCTATGTAATTTGCCCAAGGTAGCCCAGCCAGTAAACGGGACAGCTGAGTTCAGAACCCAGCAACTGTTTCCTCAAACTATTCTCTTCTCAGTCTACCTTACTGCCTCACTAAACTGCACTAATCTAATAGTTTTGCCTTAGATTACTTCTGTGTACTTTGTTAACTTCTTATAGTGCAACTAAAATATTTCCAATCATTCTAATTTCAATAGCCCCTAATACACTACTCTGCTTCTGCTGGGTATAAACATGCCACCAGAAGCCTACAGGTGACACCAGATTCATCACTACACTGAAGTGTTACAAAAATGTGAAACCAATGAATCTCTACCATGGTTGTTTCACATAGAAAACCTGGACTCCAGCATCCAAATAAAAGACCACTGTTGCTACCAGCTGTGTTTCCATTTTAGACTCCATTTGTGGAAAATATTTATCACAGTCTTCCATTTTCTCAAAGCAAAATCAAAGAAAATTGAGAAGTGCCAAATTACATTGTCTTCAAAAATCCTGTCATAGAGTAACTCAGCTCTCACAAATCATTCCCTGAAGACATTATTGATGTTCTACCAAGTTGATAAAGTAATATAATTTGCTAGCAGGAAAAAGGGCCGGCAAACAGAATTGTGCTCATTAGAGCAGTATCTTTACGATGCCTTATTCCATTTCTGTTACTTTTCAAGGTATCACACATCACAGGGCAGAACGGTCACCTTGCTATGTGCTGGATATTTCAGTATTTTTACAGTTGGAAGTATATTTTTAACACCTACAAATTACAGCTATTCCTGCTAGAAAGGGCTCATTTATGCTGCTGGGGAAAAGGTCTCTCTCTGAAGCTCGACGTGGCCTTTGTTTACATGCAGCTCCTCTTACTATTAGACTCCCAAGTTCCTGTGGGGGCAATCTCTTCCACGACCAATTCATCAAACCCAGTCCTAGTGCTAGACCGGTTCACATCAACATTTTTAAGTAAGTACCATTTGTCTTCATTCTCTTTTCATCTGTCCTATTTCCTTTCATCCAGGCTGAAGGACTCACCAATGGTTTTCTCAGAGGTGCCTCACAAATGCTGCTCCCCAATGCACCCCCGCCCAAAGATTCTGCTTTGTCCAATCAAAATGCCCAAGCGTCCTTTCAAAAAAGCACACTCTCATCAAGGTGTTAGAAGAAAGTATGAGATTAAATTCCAGTTGTGAGTGGTTGATAATTTTATAAAGGTGTTTGCATGTTGAAAGTGAAATTCTAATTAATTCAAAAGAATTTATAATGGATAAAATTCAAAACAATGTAACTAAGTGATGAATTTGCATCAGTGGCAAAGAAAAATATTTGGGGCATGAGTACTTTCCAAGCTTTAGAAAACCATGGTGGGTTGAGGTTCGGGTGTGTGGGAGTTGACAACCAAGCATGGTACAGTAAAAGTAAGTAATGTGCTGGTCACACCCTCAGCCTCGCTCTAAAATGTCCTTTATATTGCACAGTCCTGGGAAACAAATGCAGGATGTCTGGGAGGGCTTGAAACCACCTGACCAGACTACCACAGTGAACAGTGAGAGTTTGAAAGGGTGTCTATGGCACCCTTTAGGTGCTTCTTCTACTTTCTAAGTGGTCGGTATTTGAAAAGATTTAATACTATGAGCTCTGTTGTCTGCATTTGAAAAGATTTAATACTATGAGTTCTGTTGTCTGCATTCCTCTCCTTCCACCAATCTTTTGCACCATTAAGATGGCCAGATGACAGTTTGGTACATGCCTGTTAAAGTAAAGGGGTGGGAGGTGCTTTGTTTGCAGTTGTTAAAATGAATAATAGACTGTTTGGAGCAGAAGGGATCACAGATCAACTATTTCAACTCCTTTGATTTAAAGATGATATCATAGCCTAGAAAAGCTGCTCTAGGTCCACTTACTTGCTCTATGTCATGTGGCATGATCTTGTGCCATCTTTTGGAAACTGAATGCCTGTTAAAATATAGCTTCTTTTAGAGAGATTTTCATAGGCAGCTCCCTAATGAGGCAAATGTCCCCATCACCACTCGCTTATAAATGGAAAGGTGCTGCACAGAGGGAATGAGGGCCTTTCAACCAAATTCGCAAAGCAGGAATGGAACTAGAACCCAGTGCAATCTAGCATAGAACTGGAATTATTAACAGTTTGCAACATGGCTAGATATGGGCAGGCAAGAATTCCAGTAAAAATAGTATACACCAATGAAAAAGCTGAGGTCAATATTTATTACTGCATTTGATGGAGAGGGAACTAGTCACTGGGGTAATACAAGCAGGGAGTGACCCCAAATTCTCTATGTTGGCCACAGAATATTATTTTTATTAACATTTGAGTAGAACTGTATGGCCTGTGTTCTGTAAGTTTCCTTCAAACCATATACTGACACCAGCCAAGTGAGGTCTAATGTAAAGAGAACTTCATAAGCTCTCCATTTTATCTGTTTCCACCATTTTCCAACTCCATCCAGCACTGATAGCTGACTTTTCTTAGCTGCTCTCAAAATATTGCTGGTGCAGTATCGTCTATGGGTTAACAAATTTCCCTGCTCAGGGGTTCAAGCTTTCTAGCTGGAAAGCGAAGTTCCTTATATAGTTTAACCAAAGAAAAATCCCCATCTTTGCTGGACATTCACCCTTGGGGGAGACATATGAGGAGAATCCATTTACCTGCTAATTTGTTTGTTTGTTCGTTTGTCTGTCCGTCCGTCCGTCCGTCCGTCCATCCATCCACCCACCCACCCATCTACCCACTCACTTATTCATCTACATATACATTCGACATTTACTGAGCACCTATTATGTGCCAGACACTATAGAGACAAAGTGGGACATAGGGCAAACAATGGTTCCTGTCCCTATGAAGCTTACATCGCTGTAGGAGGGCCAGACATGGAAAAGTACTAACAAGTCTGGTGCATACCGGGTAGGCTTCTATACGGGTCGATGCGGGTCTATAGCAGGGGGACCTACTCTAAACTTCAGCATAGAAATGTCCCAGAAGAGACATTTAATTGGGGGCTGATAGATGAGTCAAAATTAGACTGAGGAAGAACATTCTGGGCAGAAGGAACAGCAGGTGCAAAGGTCCTCGGGCACAAACAACGTGAAGTATTCAAGGAACTGATACAAAGTCTAGAATGTCCTGAGTATGGAATGAGGGTTATACAGATAATACTGATTTGCAGTGAGGAAGGAAGGGCATACTACCCTATCCTTCAGAATTAGCGGAGTCAACTCTGGTGACAAGTGGGCAACACAAGACAGAGCCAGCCCTTACCCCTTATCCACACAAGTGTTAGGTCCAAGCCAGTGAAGGTCGCCAGAGTCAGGGTCAGCAAACCTCTTCAAGGGCAGGGCCCAGGACTTGAGTGCGATTTATGCCTTTCACACCTAGTTCCAAACTGGGCCAGCACCCAATACGTGTGAGTGCTTTCAAAAAAGGGAGACAGAGCCACAAGCACATAATTTAAGAAAGTCACTTCAGGCAGATTGGCAGCCAAATGTCTGAAGCACGAACTGCCACAGACAAGCCATAATGAAAGACGACTGCACTCGGTGACTTGAATTGCTTGCACTGACAGGGCTTATTTTGGGAAAGACAGCTGAGCATCTTTATGGATCAACCCAAATTTGAAACTTAGTTGCAGGGCTGAATTTGAATCCAAGACTTGGATGGCTCTCTGTTCCATCTAACCATCAGACCTGTTAGCTTCCACTACGATATACTGATTTTTTTGCTTCATACAAATAAACCCTTTCTGGAATCGTGGATGTGAATCTGGTCTTTGTCATAAGAAATGAAGCCTGAGAGG